ACACACCCATGCAGGCACACAAACACATACACTCACACATGCATCCTCAGTGCTAGATAGAGATAAGCATTCCACCTCAGGGATAATTTAAAGGAACATTTGCATTGGAAGCACTTACAGTGCTTACTAAGAATGTCTCATTTTAAGCCTCTGAAGCAGATGATGCTTATGCGCACTGTGTGACATCACTGTCCCTGACTGCGCTGATCTGTGTAGCTCCAAGATAGGAACGTCTGTGTCTATCCATATCCGAGATAGATATATTTCTCTATCTACTATCTGTAATCAATTAAATCAATAAGTCGATGTATCTAGTCTGAAATAGTGAGCAAGGTGGTTAAAGGAAGTGATACTTCCTCTTTCTTTTATTCATTTATCATCTGCTGTGTCCATATGAAACACCAAACAATGTTGGTATAGCAACAATGAATTGCGGACTTAATCCAGCAGAAGGAAGCTGGCCCATAGCAGCTCTCCCTCCTTCTTGCTTCGTGGTGATGGGGTGAGCAATTACAGCGAGTGCCTGGAACCTTCCCTCAGTAACTTGCTGGGGTTTGCTGGCCTAGGCCTGAGAGATCTCAGCAGTCCTCAGAGAACAGGACTCTGCTTCTCAGAACGTTTTTTACTTTGCAGGGTGGAAATCAGACTTTGCTGACTGGGCAGCCGGGAGAGCTGGAAGACTGGCAGATACTGAGGACTAAGATCCGACATTGATTCTTATCACTTGCCTGTTGTAAAGTATACTTTTAGTTAAAGGAAGAGGAAGAAGACTAATAGGAGGATGATAAATTTGGTTGGCCTATGTTTGGGGTTATTATTTTTGCTCTTAGAAATCCTCCTAGGACCTCTACCTCATCCCATCCTCACCTCTTGCCCAACTTCTTCTATGCTAACCAAACTCTGTTTTGTACAAGTTCCACATTTTGTGCTTTAGGGGAGCAGGCCTTGGAATCAGCTATAAGGAGGCTGTTGGTCCAAGGCACTCAAGGAGGATTTGTACTCCTTGCCAATGGCTGGTTCAGATGAGCCCACGTAACATAATCCTAGCCAATGTGCTACAGGAGGATCCTGAGGAACTATTTTCTTCATCATCAAAACACTCTCAGTGAAAGTTATTTTCTGTTTGTTACAATTTGGGGCTTATTTTCCAAGGGGAACACAATATAATACAGGATACATATTTTATATGATTATTTATAATAGTCACCCAAACAATGATATACAAAAGAGTGCAGGAAATCTGCCCACACACTAAGACCAAGGAATCAAGCTGAGAGCCTGGATCCCATGGAAATGTCCTGCATGAGTCCAGCTGAAAACCTAGAGCTCATAACAATGCCTTCCATGAATCCAACTGGAGGCCGAGAGCCCATGACAACATGTCATGCAGGCCTGTTTCAGGGATCTGCCCTGGAAAGGCCCAAAGGTCAGTGGTGGAATCTAGGAAGTCTGTGCCAGCGGGATGAAGGATCTGTGCTAGTAAGCTGTGGGATGTGCACTGGAGCCAGGAAATGATGTGCAAAGTAAGAACCAGAGCTCCCCTGAAAGGTACCACAGCCATCCTCAGCAACAGTGAGGTCCTGAGCCCCTCCAATGATCAAGATGGCCGAGTTCCCATCAGGGAAGTCAACACAGCAATCTTCTCCAGGAGACCGGCAGTGTAGCCAGGATGGAGCCAGGATGCAATGCTCAGTGAGGACCAGAGCTCCCCCAAAGTGAACCGAAGGTATTCTCAGTGCCAACAAGGTCCTGAGCCTCTCAGAGGATGAAAACTGCCAAGTTCATCAGGGAAGCCAGCATGACGAGCTCCTCCAACAGAACCCACAACTCCTTACAGCTTCTACCAGCTCCCAACAGCCTTCCTCTGCTCCCAACAGCCTTTCTTAGTTCCCAACAGCCTTTCTTAGTTCCCAACAGCCTAACTTCTTCTCCAGGTCTGCCTCTTATGCTGCTGGCAACAGTCCCCAGGTGCGCCTCCCACACCCAGCACCATGCTTACTCGGTTCAGCAGGGGGTCACAAGTTGACCACCAGTTGTCAATCCACTACACTGTTGCTGCTACTTTTGTTCATGCACATGATTCTTAGAATATGGCAGCAATCTTGGATCTTGGGATAGCACAAGGAATGAAACCCAGTGTGCATGCTAAGGTAGCTGCCAGGAAAGTGGAGGGAACCCTTGGTTCTTGGCAAGCTCACTGGACTTCTTAGCAGATTAGCTCTGCAACTGCATTATCTTAGAGCTTCTTGCTGTATGAGATAATAAATCCTTGTGAGTCATTAGGCATGTACGTGTATATGCAGGCATGTGCATGTTTGTGTTTACTGCAGCTCAAATTTTCCTAATGAACAATATGATAAAAAAGAAAATCAGCTCTGGCCCATGATCAGGAATAACCTGGCAAATGCTTATGTTTAAACATAACAGATACTGAGCAGGAGTTTGAGGGGAAAACTATGCTTTAGAATGGAGACACTACAAGTGCTTTCCAGAATTTACCATGTTTTTGAATCACATGTGAGCTTTGGAAAACACTGGTCTGACTGAGGAGTTTAGGGGCAGGGTCACAAATTCTGCTTTCCTATTTGGTACCAGGACATGCCACTGTGGTGGGTCCACGGGCCACAATTCCACACAACTAATATGACTCAGCTTCCCTAAGCCAGGATGGCTTTCCTGAATCTGGATCAGGCCACTGAACTTAGAACCAATGATTATTCTGGAAAAAAAAAAAAAAAAAACTTCTGGCAGACAGTTTGAGATATTTCTCCAAGGTGAAATAATGTGGAAATGCTATTTAACTCATTGAATGGAAATCTAAAAAGTCTCATTTTGATTTCACACCAACTTACGTCTGTGACAGAGACAAACTTCCCACCTCCAGAATGGAGAAAGATTTTCTGAAAGTGGTGTTCTTTTTCTTCCATCCCATAGAATGCAATAGGAAATGGGTGAGCACACAGCAGCAATTGAGTGTAAACGTTTCGACAGCCATAGCAAACCTAGGATAATAGATGTTTCAGTGCCAAGAAAATATGTTGTCATTTAAACTCAGAGATAATGCCACCAGCAGTTCCCAGGAGCTCTGACTCTCTCCAGTAGTGAAGAAGAAATGACAGAGTTGTTCTGTGTGAAATCTGACTTGTCTCATAGAAAGTTTTAAAAGTGCCTCACTGATCACGGGTGAAGAGTGCTCAAGGGTGAAGAAAGCAAAACTAATTTGCTGGTATGAATGTTAGGACTGGGGCTTTAGTCTCAGGAACACTATGATTCAGTTAAATATCATCCTTTCGTGTATCCATTAATTCATTCAACAAAGACTGAGAGCCTGCAATGCGCTAGGTATAAGAGACTTGGACACACAAAGAAAGAAGGTGTCAACTCTTGAGGAATGGACGTACAATGAGTACAAAAGGCTGACAAGTGGGTGTGTGTAAGCTGTAGTGGAGAAGGCGTTTCAGGCTGCTGTGCAGCAGGAAGAAGCATTTCTCAAGGGACACTGTTTAAATTGTGACTTGAAAATGAGTATGACCCAACCAGGAGAATGGGGCGGGAGCAGGGCTGGAGGAAGCCATTGTCAGAAGACTGAAAATAGTGTGCGGAGGTATGCAGGCACTGAAGAAGACATGTCCAGGCATGGAAATGAAGACAAGGAAGTCCGAAACTTACACGGCGTTCATGCAGATATGTGGCTTGTATTATTTCTATGGTTTTGTAATTCAAAGTCTAGAAAAGAGTGTTTAAGGATAAAAAAACTTAAAATTGCATTTGGAACCAGCAGGTTGGCACACGGGGTGTGTCTTGAATATACTGTATGGTCAAAGACTAAATTTTCTTTGGGGCAGGCAGGAGCTGAACACCATGGGGTGGGCTGATACGAAGTGACACGGAGAGGTGGCTCCGTGGGCGTCTGAGGAGTTCCCGTCTCCTCGAAAGATACGCGATGGAAAAGAAATGGAAGCAAAGTAAAGCAAAGCAATCACAAAACAAGAAAGAAAACAACCCCAAGCTCTGTGTTTCATTCCATACCTCAACACTTCCGTGGCAGGATTAGGCTCATGGGTTTTTCATGTTTATGGCTCTTTTATTTTTTTGGCTTAATATTGTCTTAGGGAAAAATTTTGAAATTACATCCTTCCGATTCCAGGCTAAGAGTACTAGAGATGCTTCAGATAGAATTGGGAGGTTCGCTTTGGAGCTTGTGGCTAATTTGAAGGTTAGAAGTAAAAGTTGAAGGATAGAACATTTTTTTTTTATTTTAAAGAATAACAATCACAAAATAACAACAACAAAGACAAAAACAAAAAAACACACAAAAAATAAAAATGATACAGAATTTCAAAACGAGACGATAGGAAATTAACAGTGGTTGTTATCTTCAGTGAGGTTGCTCAGATTACCAGATGTAAGAATGCAAGATGAATCAAACAATTAAAGAGAATAAAAAATAATAAAAAAACGTTAGAAATGATACAGAGCTTCACTAAACAGGATGATAGAAATTCACCAATGGCTGTTACATTGCATATTGTTGTCTTCAAATCAGTTGTTCAGATTACCAGATATAAGCATGTAAAATTGGCCAAAAAATTTAAGCATTAACTGTTCTTTCAATAAACCAATAGACATCAGCTGTACAATTATCCCAGCTAGCCTTCTATACACACACACACACACACACACACACACACACACATATTTCCCTTCCTTCTTTCTTTTTCTCCTTTCCCTCATCCAAGTTGTTCCTTCCTTTGAGCAATTTCTGTCCCTTTCACAATATCTATTGCACTTTTTTGGTTTTATTTACTCTTTCAGGTTCCTGGTATCAGCAGATTTGCACTTGGTGTCATGGATATATCTGGCTTCTTCAAAATTTAAGCTAAAATTATAATCCTCTATCTCATTTGAAATAAATCTCTAATGAGAGTCACTTGGTAAACTGCACTTGTCTTAGAATGTTGTATTGTTTTGTCAGTCAATATGCAGGGTATCACAATTCTGGGTGTGTCACAGTTCTACTGTAGCTAATTATGGAGAGGGTATGGAGGTACCAAAGGATTTACGGTGAGATCTGCATTTGAGTAGTGTTAGAAGATACTGAGAGTTCCCAAGGAAATGCTACAAATGAATTTCCTAGGAAGTTTCTGAATGAAAGGAAATCTACAGTATCAATATGATATGTTCACCTCTCCCACCCCTTATTTCACCACTTGGGGTCATAGTGGTGTGTAGTTAGGGATCTAAATGTGGGACAAATTATAAAATATGCTGGGAAAATATATTTTTTCCTTTCCTGTGAATCTTGTTCAAACTGTCATTAGAATACTGTCAGTAGGCACTGGATTTTAATTAAATCTAGTAGGATATGGCTATCTAAACTGGTCTTTGTTTTCTCTGGAGTTACCCCAGGGCCACCAGCCACACAAAGAGAGTCCTTTTACTTCCCTAGAGTAGGGTTTCCTGGCTTAACAAATAGCAGTATAGGAACCAGTGAAGTTTGAATTTCTGATAAATAATAAAGATACTTCTAGTGTAAGTAAGTCACAAACATTACATAAAACCTTATTAGCTATTGGGTCTTTGATCTTCCTGTATTCTCCAAATTTCTTTCCTGGCACAAGGACCCTGGAACTGTGTCCTAAACTTGCTCTTAGTGTCTGGAAATTGACTTTCCTTTAGTATGGGAATTAACTATCTCAAGGTTCCCTGAGTTGTAATTACCCATTGTGAACCAAAAGACTGTTCACTGTTTGTGGCCACAGAATACTCCTGTAGTATAAAAGAGGCCTTTGCAGAGTAAAGAGTGGATCTGACTTGTAGAAAGTAGAAAAAGTAATAATTAGGAAGGATTCATTACCTCCTATTTCAGGGAAGAAGGTTAGCTAGCAATTTGGATTGTATTTTAAAAATAACTCCTTCATAAATACTAGCAATAAATGTGCATGATGTAGGATCAAAATGTTTCCATATTTGCATTTCTAATTCTAAAATATGCTGATGTGGGGACTGGACATTGTGAATTCTCTAGTGGACAGAATGAGATAGTGCAAACAGATATTTTACCATTGTTAGGTAAAACATTTGCTAGAAAGTGAGGCAATAAGAAAAATTTGGAAAATGGAGCTTTGTGAAAGAGGAAAATAGGTAATTGGCCTAAGAAACTGAATATTTTAGAACTGGAATGGAATGAACCTAAAATACTAAATTAGTGCCAAGTAGATGCAGTTGGTTTAGCAGAGTTCATCCATGTTTAAAGTGCTGATGAATTGTCCTGAGTAGTGTTGCCCTTGTATAAGACTCACATAATCATGGAATGTAAGGGTTAAAGGGGACACAAGATCACATAACTCCATTTTAGATGAATAAACCATGGCTGTTTATTCATGGTTTAATCACCAGTTATGAATTCTAAACTTTTCCATACTGTGTGGGAGCACCATATTTCTGAGGCTTACTTTGGATAGAGGAATCTACAGCCTTTTTTGTTTTATCTTCAATATTTAAATATTTCTAAGGAGAAACTCATCCTTGCTGTGATTGTTGATACTATCTTCTGGCATCTACTTAGGATTGGGACGTTGATTTTTTTTTTCTAGTGTGAGTTTAAGAAAGCTAAGAAAAGGATCCCAAAATACTTAGTGCTGCAGCCACTTCCTAGAATAGCTTTATCTTGGATTTTGAAAAGCAGAACTACTATATATAACTAAGTTTCTAGAGAACTGAAGCTTTTTTCCTTAAACATCAAATCTTCTATTTTATCTATCTTTAACACCATCTTTCTGAGACATATTACACTTCTCACGTTTGTTGAACTTCAGAAATATACAGGGCATAGCTTTACCTTTTTTTCAGGAAATTTTTATGATTGTGTTAAAAAAACCTTCCTTGCTATACACCACTTAAAAGACTGTAGAATATCAGTTGCATGGGTATTTATAACTTACCGAGTAGCTATTCCATTGTTGGATGATAAGGATAATTCACTGTATTTTTCTTTTATGAAAGCAGCAATGAGAAACACCTTTATCTGGGCTATTATTAAGCACATAAATTACTTGGTGTTATATAAAATCCGATTCCTTTGTGGTCGCTAAAGGACATTGGGTTATTTGGCCTTACACTAAAAGGTACAATGAGCTATGCTTTTGATTTTTGTAAAGCTACGCTTTTGTTTTAACTTTTTCCCTTCTTTGACGTCAAATTGCCCACTGCTCCAACTGTTCCTGCTTTATTCCACTTTTAGCTCTTAGGTCCCATTTTAAATGCTTCTAATTAGCTGTAAAATGGGAAGCTAGGAACAGTGTGCTACACTTACACAGGTAGAAAAGCAGGTTAAGAGTTAAGTACTTTGCGGGACAAAGTACCCAAATTATATTCAATGGGATTATTTGTTCATCTGAGACGATCTTTAAAAACTAAACCACAGGTTATATGCCTGAAGTTCTTATTACTTACTTAAATTAAAAAATAAATCTGAAAATACTAAGAAAGAGTTTTTGGATGAGGCATGTCCAGGATGACAAAAAAATCTACCGAGATTTGTGAGTGAGAAACAAATATCCTATTTTTACAGTCTGGTGAAGTTGTGAAGTGGAGGAGACTTTAGAAGGAAAAGAAGCAGTAAAATGTAGATTTGAGCAAATGCCTAGATCAGCTTGACTACGTCCTAGCACAGCACGCTCCTCAGACACACAAACCGCCCCCTGGTGGAGCATGTGGGTGAATAGTCATTTCACCAAGGGCGCCATGACGTGTGTTCCGGGGCGCACGGGCTTCTACTTGATGCATTTGAAACGTTGTATACTATCAGCACTGACTACTAATGCTAGCTCCTCTATTTTGATAGTTAGGGCTAGTTTCCACTTCCTAGGTGATTATCCCAGCAGTTCCTAAGGGAAAAATATAAATGTACAAATCATTATGCCTGACTTGGAGCTTGCTTGCAAAAACTCCATGGTGATATTCTTCAAGAAGATTGGGCTGAATGCTAGACACAGAATCGCCAAGTGTAAATTCTAAGATAGAATGCCAGGGAGTTCTCAAATGGCTAATGGCACACAGTGAGTTTTCTGTGAGGAATTGGGATCTATAGGAGAGAGGTGGGAAGCAGGCTCTGGCGAGTTCATATGAGGACTGCCTCTCTCTCTCTCTCTCTTTCTGTGTCACACACACACACACACACACACACACACACACACACATTTGAGTGTTAGCCTTGTCCATAACAATCATTACCTATTTGATTTTAAGTCATTTAATTTCTTTCTATCTTATCTATGAAGTACCTTGGGAAGGATGATCGGTAACGATTTAGTTTACAATAGGTCAGAAGTGGTGTATCAGTTAAGGTATAGGTGAAGTTGCTGTACCATACAGGTGTTATTGGACTTGCTCTGAAAATGACACAAAAAAGTTTGATTTCTTCAGGGTATTATATTTGACAAAATTTCGTAATAGACTACTCACAGGGACTACAGTTTGACAGTCCAACAAAATCCAATGATAGGATATTATATTCATTTTTTTTTGTTGTTGTCTTTTTGAGACAAGGTCTTGCTATGCAGTTCAGGCTGGCCTTGAGCTCACTTTGTAGCCCAGGCTGGTCTCAAACTTGCGACAGTCCTCCTGCCTCAGCCTCCCAAGTGCTGGGATTACAGGCATGCGCCACCACTCCTGGCTATATTCATTCTTTTCTTTTTTGCTTTTGTGTGAAGCCATTATATTTAGTCATTTATTTCAGTACATAGCAATTTCCAATGTTTGTATTGTTTCTCGCTATTTATATTTACATTATCCTGAGTTCTACCACTCACAATGCTGAGTATCCTATTCACTAATCTCATCTGAGACAGTGACCAACTTTGTGCTCACAGTGCAATGTGACCCTTGGGAAAGGACAGTCACAGACTGACGGGACGGCTGTGGAAGTCATAACTCAATTTACACTTCCAATTTATAACATATAGTTAGACAAAATGGTTTTATTGATGTTTCCCCCTTGGAATCTTCCATCCGAACACTGAAGGCTGCTTGATAGACTTTAGTCTTTACATGTGTTGCAGCATGCCTACTCACACATGTTCTACCCACTAGATGACATTAGCCACCTTCCCTAACCCCAGCCTGTGATAACCAAAATACTCCCACACCTTGCCAAATGTCAAAGAGGAAACAAAAGTGCCCTCACTTGGGAATTATGAGGTAGGGTCTTTGCCTGTTAGATAAGTGAAGAACTCTAAAAACTCTAAAGGGAGATTATTTCAAAGGATTCTTCTTCACCAAGCTGGGAGTGAACTAGCAAAATGAATTCCACAGACCAGAACAAGACAAAGGTGAAACTTAGTTTTCTTGAATTAGTCACAACATGAACAAGACTTAGGGTCTTGTACACCACAAAGGGGACTTTAAGCCAATCAGTCTGTTGAGTTCGGATAATATGACACTAAAACCAAAGCCAGACTCTGCATGAGAGGTGTGCACCTCCAAGGGTAACAGATTCAAGACTCCACGAGATTGAAGAGCACACAGATCCTAACCCAGGGGAGTCAGGAGATATAAAGCACCATGAAGCACTGGTCAAAGCAAGATGAGCAAGACTTTGGGTTGCACCAGGCACCAAATCCAGCCATGAATACCAGTAGGAAGAGTGCAACCAAGTGGTCGAGGGATATTGGCTCAGAGACAAAGGAACCCTTTCACCCCATTGCCAAAAATTAACATGAGCTGTCCATGTACAGGGAGAGAAAACCGAAAAAGACTCAGCACTACAGCTCAAAAGAAGAAGCCCAAGAGATTTTGTTTCAACACGCTGATAGGGATTAAATTTTTTAATCGTCCAAAGTATAAAAAGCGATTGTTCTAAACAGAAAAGACAAAGTTGTTGGATGAACTGAGTTGCATGCAAGCGCATATGTGTTTGCTCACAAACACATACATCATTAGCAAGTTAGGGTTTTGGTAAGGAATAAAGTAAAAAAAAAAAAAAGCGCATTTTGCTGGAACACTTATGTGCTATGTGAATGCATTGTGATCCTGCAGCAACACAGTGGTGGATACTGTTAGAA